GATTCCCAATGGAATTGTATTCTACGTAAATTTTAGGATTACTCATTTCCTGCCGTTACTCAAATAAACAATGTTATCAGAGATTCATTTTTAATTTCCTTGTCAGACTCGTCAGACTGTTATCGTAACTGCCGATAAATTGCCAAAATCGCATAGAACGACTAGATCTCTCGTCGTCACGGACTTTCTTCTTGTGATTGCAATTCCATCAGATATATCTCGAGTTCTTAATTTCAATACACAGTGCGAGTCTGATCTAACGGAATTAAAACGATGCATTTTTCTATTATCGATTAATTTTTCACGAAGACACGTTTCCATCTCAAGGAATTAATCCTGAAACGTGGTGGTCGAAGCTAGTGGACTAAATTCAGAAAAATTTCACAATTTCTTTCCTCGTACGTGAACTTTCATCCCCGTTTACAAATTAAATAACCCGTGGCGTTGATTCTTGAAGGAATCGCGCGCACCTGCAGCATCCCAGTGTCCCCGGAGCGACGGCCACGAAATCAAATCGACTCCTCTTGCCCTGTATGTGTGTATGTCTGAAAAAGATTCCGATACGGGCCACGGGAGGAGAAGAAACGGAGAGGAAGAGAATCGGCCGGCTCTGGAGAAAGAGAAAAAAAAGGGAAAAAAGAAGCAGATAATAGGCTTCCGGCGATGAAAGCGTTCGCGGGGCAGGTTTTAATTTTCAAGAGGCCGCCGGTCTGCGTTTCTTCCTCTCCTTCTTCTTCTTCGTCGCCGTCGCCGTCGTCGTCGTCGTCGTCGTCGTCGTCGTCGTCGTGTTGTTCTTCTCCTTCCTTCGGCTTATATACACGCAGCAGCTGTGCAGGCCGACTGGCGTTTCATTCGATTTGGCGCGTGCCTCGTGGCCTGCGTTTGCTGACCACGTTTTGCTGCTCGCTGCCTTTCGTTGCTTCGCCGTTACTCGTCGCTTACGGCCCTCGGCACCTGTTCCACAGCTGATACGCGGCTGGCTATGCTCCCTCGAAACCTTCCTCGTCCTCTTCCTTCGTTTCTCTTGCCTCTCTTGCACGAGAGGAAAGTGCCACTTTCACCACTGAATTTAATTCCGCAACGGGGAGCTTGTACATTTCGTCATAGATCTCATCTCGCAAATTGTAGGAGCAAAATTCTACTCGATGAGAGAAGATACTGCAGTGCGTGATAAAATTGTATCTGTCAATTATAGTCACTTATAGTCACATTACAAAGATCAAAGTTGTTAGCATCGAACTGTAAACTCTTGACAGTTTATTACTAAACTCCATCTCTTATTGCTTTATAACATTTATGGTATATTGTAACACAACACTTGACAGATTTTTCTCTGTTAATTTGTTATATCGAATTATATTTATTCTGGGAAATGACCTTTATGCGAAAGCAAACAACGAAACTAATTATCGTTAAGAGCAACATTTATATACCTATAAAGTCTTTTTTAAAAAAGCATTTTAGAATGTTGTCAAGTAACGGATGATTGATATTTACAATCGGAAGCCAGTCAAATTTCTCTTGCGAAGAGGTACACGAAAGAAGAGAATAATAGTACCACAGGAAGTTCAATATAATTAAGGTTAAAAGCACCTAGATTAGAAGATTAGATGGTGGCTGTGTTCATCAGATAGCGTGTCTTAACCAATTGCGAGTAACAAAGAGCCAGCGAACTTGCAATTAATCACACAGAGATTACGTTACAATATATGTATACTTGTGAAAATTACACGATACTGCGAGTACGTACAATGTCAGAGTACTTTGCCACTCGGGAGGAAAAAAATCCCCGAATCTGCAAATTCACCGAAGACTCCGAGGACTGACGGAAATTGCAGAATCGTAAGTACGCCAAGTTTGAAAGAAAAAAAGAAAAGAGAAGAACGAAAAGACCGAGAATAGCAACGAGAGAGAAAAAATGCAATCGAGACAAACGCGAGGGAATGGAAAAAGAAAAAAAAAAGAGGAAGGAATCGCTCGCTCCGGCTCCAATTGTTCATCCGTGTGAACAAACGCGCGGCCTGAATGCTCAGGAATTTCGGAATAGTTTCGTTGCTCTGCCCCCTTTCGGAGTCGCGACGACGAAGACGATAAAACGCGGCGGAGGAAGACGACGACGACGGCCAAGAAGAAGAAGAAGAAGCAGAAGAAGAGGGGAAAGAGGAACGCGAGAAGAGGGTGCATTTAGGTAGCATGAAAACATGTATGTAGTGCCTCATATTGGAGCAGAGTGTTGGTGATTTTCACGTGAATGTGTTTGGTGTTTGCGGCGTAGGTGTGTGTGTGTGTGTGTTGCGTGTGCGTGTGCGTGGCACGCCGTGAGGGCCGACTCGAAGTTGCACTCCCACGCTCACCGCTCCATGAAATGGGGTGCGAGGTGCAGCTACACGCCAGGCTCGTGCAGGTGTAGGTGGTGTGCGCAAGGGTCGGTCCCTTGGGCCCCATTAACGTTGCCCGTTCCTCGAACCTATGAGAACCCGCCTGGACTTATGATAATTCTGCGTGTCGTTACACTCTTTGACCCATTGTGGCGGTATCTACCGACCCGAGTGGTTGCTTTTTCTCGTGTCTTCGTCGGCGTGGAGAAATTCGTTTGACCCTTGGACAACAGATATAGTTTTCTATCTCGCAAGCACCTGAAACAATACGATTCGATTCAACTCTGAGTGGGAATTCGTAATTCACTATTGGAGAATGTAAATTTACACAAACTTTGTAGCTTGTGTGATGGAACAGTAAGAAACAGTTCTTCTTCAAAGAAGTCTCGATCTCTCATTTTTAAGAAAATAAATAAAAGTGGGACTCGTTAGAGATTGCAATTTGTTGTAATTAACAGAGATCTTTAGTGTAAGATCATTGTTAATAATAAATGTAGAAATATTTGGAAATTTAATGGAAATACTTAAATATATTTTGGTATTTTGGCATTTTTATAATACATAATAACCTAGAATTCTAGTGTACTACTAAAATTCTACTTTTGCGATTTCAATGTATCATTTATTAGGATGAGATTTAAGAAGATCGAAGCTTAGGATATTCCGAGAATATTCTGAGCTTGAGTTCATTAAATTCTTATTAAATATTATATTATTAAAAATAATTATTTAAATATCATTAAATATTGCGTGAAAAATTGTGCAACGTGGAATCGATTTTAGATAGACATTGCGCCCTCGTTTCACTTACAAACTACACCCCTTCTTCGCGAAGCAAAAGTAACTTCACTAGACCTTACAAGTCATCCCTGATCTTTTCAAGAACTTGAAAATCAATCTTCAAGCTTTCAAACCTACGACAATTTTACACTACGTACTTTCCTGCGAACTTAGTCCCTTATCTGGAACTTCCACCTATCTGAAAGCGATAAATCGATCTAAGAATCTGCAGTCTGGCTTTCGCAGCCGATCGACACGTGTTAGATATCCGTCCGTCGTTTCGTGAAAGTTCGTTAACGCCGTGTCGCGAAACGATAGAGCCTGCTCGTTACGGGTCGAGTGGCGGGCCACCTGTTTTCCTCGCCGTTAAAAAGAGGATAAGTGTGGGAACGTCGGCTGGTCACACATATCGTGCACATTGTAATTCCGTGTGTTCACGCAACGCGACGCTTAGCCAGTGGATTATGATAATCCGGCAGAAGCCATTGTCCTGCACGACAATCCGTGGGGGGAGGGGAAGTAGGGGGTGGGGGGGGGAGGGGGTGCCGTGGAATCGCGAGTCTCCTCCTCGCTACCAGGCTGCTCCGGAATAATTAGCGATTTCATGGTTGTGAAGCGTGAGCAGAAATTCTTCGGAGAAGAAAATCGTTTAATTAAAGTCCCGTGTTTACGAGCTTAATTAACAGACAGGGTGAAAAAGAAAAAAGAACCACCGATGTTCACGACATCTAGAAACAGCTTTCGATGTATGTATTCCGTTCGTCGAACGAAAAAGTATTTCGATCGAGAGTCGATGCCTGTAAGATGAGCAATTTTCACAAACGAAAAAATTCTAAAACATAAGTGTTTGAAAGATCGATGAAATCGGATCGAATTATCGGCGAATGAAAAGTAACCTTATCGTCGCGAAATCGGTTTTAACCTTATCACTGACTGAAAACAAGCACGTAATTAATCATTAATTACTTTCGATGAAGTAATTAAAGCCCTGTACGTAAACGTTCGTTTGTACCATCCGAACTCTTTCTAGTTAGAATAAGTTCATAAGGATCTGTGCTCCAAATTGCCAAGAGTGCGAGATTTCTTTGAATTTCAATGTGTCGGAGCCACTGTCCGTCAGAGAGACGACACTCTCTGGTCTGGATTTCGGTGGATCGAACGGCCGGACGGAGATTTTACAGGTGTTATCACGTCCCCCGTGGCCGATCGAAGCGAGGTCCGCAGCCTCCGTAATGGACGCACGCTCGACGAGTTTCTCGTGGCCGAGTAAAGGAAGTCGAGGATAGGCGGAGTTGGCTCGGGCCAATCGTCGAGATGCGCGCCGCCCACGTGTCAGCAGTTACTCCCTGCAGACTCTGTCTCTCGTGACACTGCTCTTTACTCTTCAGGTTCCAGCCGATTTTCCGCCGATTTTCCGCTCGCGACCCATGCCTCGAGGACGTTTGACCCGAGAGAGAGAGAGAGAGAAAGAGTCGAAACCCGAAGGCGTTTCATTGAATTTGGAAATCGAACGGGCGAATCATTGAGTTGCGAATCATCCGGTTCTTCCAGCGGAGGAAGAAATTTCGATTTGATGAAAGAAAACGGAGCGTCGAAGTATGTACCTTTAAACTCTCGGCCGCCCGATGGTCACCGGATCCGTTTAAATCCACCCGTGTGTATCGTTCACTTAAAAATCTCGGAGCGGTCCGTTGTAATCGGACACCTTGTAATCAGATCCAGGCTCGAGCCTGGTCAATGAGCATCCCTCTTTCGCTCGTTAGTTTCATAGATAGCCTCTCCGTGAATGAAATTACGGGGAACGAACGCAATTAAACGCCTTCGCGATGGCCATTTTTCCAGGTGGTTACAATCATCTGCGCAGTCCCGTATGCCAGGACGAGAGTCAGAGGGATGAAACCTCGCCGCCGCCGCACAGCCATAACACCCAAGCGCCCAATTCTCATCCCAGCACACCCAACAGCAACAACAACAACAACAACAACAACAACAACGCGAACAACGCGTACATACACCTGCGGAACTTGAACCAGCTGAAAACAGAGTGTAAGTTACCCTCAAGAGGGAATGCCAGATTCGTTTGTACTCATCTTCGTAAAAGCGGTTGGCTTTAGTTGATTTTTAATTTGCCAATTTATCTCCAGCGAACTACAGCAATCACCATATAACGGAGCATCTCCAAGGTGGTGGAGCAGGGTTGACGAGCGGCAACGATCTCGCGGGTACAGGAACCAACGAGAGTGACCTGAGGGTCAGCCAATCGGCCACGGAGAGCTACATGACTCCGGCCCATTACTCCGGATACGACGACACATCCGAGTATCACAGTCTGCCGCAGGATCACCAGCCGCCGCATCCTTTCAACCTAGATGGCTCGCCGGAATTTTACAGCGCCAGTGGAATTCACATCGAGCCGAAGTATCAGCCGTCGCCGTTTAAAAATTACCCTCGAGGTAATTCATCTTGTCGATCGTTTAAGAAACGCACAGTCTCTTGCTGTGTTGTCGCCTCGAGATGTTACTTATATTCGATCAGCTTTATGTTATTTAATTTTAGCGCGAATTTAATGTGATTTTCACCAATTTTCTTTCATTTGAATTCAGGCGCGTTTCGAAAAAAGGAGATTCTAGTATCTGGTCGATCGTTTAAGAAACGCACAGATCTTGCTGTTATCCTCGAGATGTTACTTGTATTCCAATAAACGTCGATCATTTTTGTGTACGTTGATTTTAGCGTGGCGATATAATTTTTACCAATTTTCTTTCATTTGAATTGCACGCGTTTCGAAAAAGATTATAGTATCTGATTGGTCGTTTAAGAAACGCACAGTCTTACTGGTGTCTTCGAGATGTTACTTACATTCCAATAAACGTCGATTTCAATAAAGAAGATTATAGTATTACGTCTAAGTGAGGGTAACAGCAGAGAATTAATAAAATCTAAGAGACGATGCTGTTAACGATGTCTGAAAAATCGTTTAACAATTGCAATGATTTGAAACAGGTCGCTATCACGAAGGATACAGTGAGAGCGGCGGATACGGGCAGTACGACGCGACGCCGTTCCAGACGGTTCCAGGAAGCGGAAGCGGCGGTGGTGGCGGCAGCGTTGGCGGTGACCAATGGGGAGTTGGTCCTCTCGAACACCTGTCTCATCATCCGGCATTCCTGGCTGGTCTTGGTCCAAGGGACTCTTCCAATCCTCATCACCCTTCGTCTATTGGAAACAATCCTGATCAGAAACCTCTGCTGCAAAGCGCGATGATCCCTGGTTACACAAGTAATTAATCGTTTAAAATTACCGTGTAGCGTTCTAGTTTTTTTTTTTTTTTTTTTTTTTCTTTCCCAGGAGATTACAAAATTACTTACTTTTTAATATTGCAGACAGTGGACCCTGCTTTACCGGTTCCGGTCCCATTCAACTCTGGCAGTTCTTGCTAGAGCTGTTAACAGATAAATCGTGCCAAGGATTTATCTCGTGGACTGGCGACGGCTGGGAGTTCAAGCTGACGGATCCGGATGAGGTGGCTCGTCGTTGGGGTATCCGTAAAAACAAGCCTAAAATGAACTACGAGAAACTGAGCCGCGGTCTCCGTTATTATTACGACAAGAATATTATACATAAAACAGCCGGCAAACGATACGTTTACCGCTTTGTCTGTGACTTACAGAGTCTCCTAGGGTAAGCCTGTAACTTGCAATATTTTTTGATTTTTCGGGAATCTCTCAGATAGTAACTCATGATCAGAATTATCAGAGTGGTTAAGATGTTCAGTTTTGATTGATTTTTCGAGAAAATACACGGATAAAACTTGTGTCCTTTTTTTTTTATCATACTGTGTATAAATCGAATTTAACGTGTTATACTTATACATAGTATTATTGTTCATTTATAGATACAGTCCAGAAGAACTCCACGCAATGGTAGATTTGAAGCCAGAGAAAAAGGAAGAAGACTGAGCTATCAGACATGTTTGAGGATCGTGTCGTTTTACAAATTGAAAAAAAAAAGCAGGAAATGACGGAAGAAGGAATACGAGTGATTCCTTAATACCGCACTGGAACGAGGTTAAAACTGACACTCTAACGAACAATATGGAACGAACAAAGACGAAGGAATAAGTAACTGATGTATTGTTAAACGAAAGAATTCTTCTAATAAGATGGAAGACAAACCAATTGATGTCTTCTAACGTTCAGATATATAATAAAATCGAATCGGTCGTATGTACCAAAGACAGGGTCTGCATACCATTGGTGCCTAAAGTTAATGACTAAAAAATTGTGAATTTGTTTCTAAGTGATTAATTTGCCAAGCCAGATTTTAGAAGATATTTATAGGAAATAACTCAACAATTTATACATATTATATATATTATACATATAAATATATATATATAAATACATATAAATATATATATATATATATATTTTTAATGTTACATCATTTCTAAGTACCACGTCGAGCATACGATGCGTCTAAATTATTTATGTCCCATCATTTTAAACATGCGTGTTATATCTCGTTGACAGATAACACCATATGTGATTGTTATTACTATAATTTTACTACAATAAAGCCATTATACCATTATTATAAACGGCGAGCTTGAATTCGACGTTTAAATGCTTTTCTACGTGTAGATTATTAACTAAGGTCTAGTATTAAAAAATACTGTGTTTCCGAGCTCGCTTGACTGCAACAACTGTTACGAATTTTTCTTTCTTTTTTTTTTTTTTTCCTATTCACTTCCTCAATGTTTGACATGCGACCAGTCGGAGTACTATAATTAAGAGAGCGTTTCAGGTGCGAAGAAAGTATACTGTTAATTTCTCTACGAGTTGTATATTCGAACACATTTCTTTTTCTTTTTTTAATCTTAAAAATGAAATGATTTCGTTTCGTTGATCTCTACATTTTTCCAACGATTAAAAAAAAAAAATGATTATTTTCTCGATGGAAGGGACGACGTGCAACCAGTATTGAAGATCATAGATGCATAAAACAGTATTTGTAATAGAAAGCAATAACATCTTTTGGCACTTAAAGATTTACTTCAAACAATCGCTAAAATTTTTATATATTTTTGCCTATCTGATAGTTTGAATATTAATACAGTAATACTAAATTCATCGCTTCTCTATTTCGAATACTGCTTTGTTTATAATGCGCAGGGAAGAAATGACGTCTGCTTTCCGTAGAAAATTTTCTGTCAGATCCTGTGTAAATCCATCGGAAACCCGTAACGCTGTCGTTTTTCGTGAATCATAGCAATAATCGACATATAACCGTTCTTAAGTGATACTTTATGATTTACATTGTACATAACGTGTACACGTCTGAAACACTCGATAAACGCGTGTATAGGAGAAATTCGACTAAATAATGTTACGACGTTAGTTTGCGTGATCCTCACCGTATTTCGATGAGCATTTTTTACATTGTAAAAAACGTTATTCTGTTGAACGTAATAATTAATTGTAATGATATCAATTGTATTGATATATGTACGACAACAGATAGAAAAGAAAAAAAACCAGGAAATTTCTTAGATGCGTTATATATATACGGCTGTAGCTACATATTTTATATAAATTAAGTTTCTTTAACAATATTTGTTAAATGTTCGGATCAAGAGAGAGAGAGAGAATGTGTGTATGTGTATGAGTATGCGTGCATGCGTGTATATGTGCGAAAGAGAGTAAACGAGAGAGAAAAAAATGACGATGGAACGGTAAACTATGGTTGAACAATATTTGATAACGATAAAACAAAGACTCGTGGATCGACGATTAACTGCGATTCAAGAAAACATCAAGTTGATCGCAAAGATAAATAGATCTTGGCATATCCGTCACGATTGTTAAGTTTTCTATATCGAACGAAATAATTTAGGCACGTTTCGACAAATTAGCAACATTATGGTTAGCAGTATACCAATTTCGAAAAGTAACTCACGAACGGAAAGTTCGAGTAAAGTCAACGGAGTCACTGCGGGTGTAGTGTAATTTCGACATTCGTGGTAAAAATGTAAAAAAAAAAGAAGAAAAAAACACGCGCGTATCGTGGTTTGTAAATCCCTCCTTCTCTGCACACGACTAGACGTTCGTAAATTATGTTTGAATACTCTTAGTCGAACGAAGCAGAAGATGAAAAATTATGTAAAGTTCTCTACTACGTATGTGTGTAAAGCATTCAATCATCGTTTTCGACTACTCTGTGAAGTTACGACCGGCGACATGTGAAAATTTTTCAAAGTAGTTGCAATAAAATAAAGAAATTTTTATAAATATATTGAAGAAAAGGACAATTTCATTCAAACAGGATTCCTGTCCTTAATCAATGGTGGGATGTACAATAATTGTTAATAATTAATCGATTAAATAAAGATTCATATTCAAAAATGTGCTTAGAACTTATTGCGCGCACTTTCAAATATATATTCCCGCGTACAACCTCGACTTAAATTTCGATATACTTCGATCTGTTCGTTAGGATTTCTAAATTTTTATACCGCGTGTTTTACCGATGAAATGGGTATGGGAAGAAAGTTGAGAGCATAATAAAAATTACATAATAGGTAAAGTTCATAAATTAATCCTCTTGATTAGTTCTGCCGAATGAAAATTGAATTGAGTTGAATTTATTGAAAAATTAAAACCATCGTGCGACAAGGAGAGAGCTAGTTTACCACAAGGCCAGATATACCATTTAGTTCCATCGTTTCATCGCTACGCGGCTCTAGCATTTCAGTGCCTGTAATAATTATGATGATAAATAAATTAATACCGCAATACTACAAATAAATAATGACTCCGTAATTAATTTTAGTAGTTTATATAAAAATATTGTCAATATAACAAAATATATAATTACTAATAATAAATATCAAATAATGAAGATTAAATAATGAAAGTTAAATAACGAATGAATAATTAACATGATAATTGCAGTATATATAAGTTTCTGTAAATATTTCCATGGTGATAATAAAATTACTAACAATTTTTAAATATTCTATTGTTTACATTAAATACACATCTCGACGGAACGATTTAATGAACATAGATGTCGTTGATCTAAATTCTTCAAAGTAGAGGTCGCTACATGCCCATAAATCGATTAAATCTTCAATTTGCAAGAAAAACTAATTAAACAAATTAATTTACGAACTTTTGCAATTATCTTTTCCAAATTATTCTTTATTTGGACCATCGACTTACATTTAATATTTCATTTAACTTATAAAACGCGCACTTAGGAAAATTTTGAGATTGTATTCGATGCGCATCCTACCAAATAATTGTACGATAAAATTTTTAATTGTAAATTGAATTTGTAATTGTAATCAATTGTAATTTGAAATAATTGAATAAATTTATTCTTTTAAGAGGAATCTAGTTGTTTTATCATTTACCTTCGATTTCTATTCCCCTCCGCTCTTTTGTCCTTGACAATTTCAAAAATTACAGCAAGAGACCTTAGGATAAGGAACATCTGAAAAATTCTGAGAAATTTCGTTTGTTTACATTCGAATGTAAATAAACAAACCAAAATGTAAATAAACAAACCAAAATGTAAATAAACAAATCAAAATGTAAATAAACAAACGATATTTGTAAATGAAGGAAAAATTTTCTGAAATTTTCGAAAATTTTTGCGAAATTTTCTTTGTTTACATTCCGAAAGTAAATAAACAAACCAAAATGTAAATAAACAAAGAAAAATGTAAATAAACAATGAAAAATGTAAATAAACAAAGAAAAATGTAAACAAACAAACGAAATTTATAAATATAGGGAAAATTTCAAATATTTGACATCTGTGCAAGTGACAATGTAATACAGACGTCGGTAATTCTCGTTGGTTACTTTAGGATCATTGGATGGGTCATTAAAAAACTAAACGAATGATTAACTTTAATTGCGTATTTATTAACCATTTAACAATTATACATGTTACAAGGATGTTAAAATTAATATATTTATAATATTTATGCCTATCTTACTTGACTAGTATCATAACCGACGTACTATATTATCTGGAACTGATTAATATTGCAGTCCTTATCCCACGCTATCGCTGTCCTTGTTTACCGCTCGTATATGTCTGTCCTTGTCCAACGCTATCGCCCTCCTTGTCTATCGCGCGTATTTGTCTGTCCTTGTCGCAC